AAAGCTGACGCTGGCTCCGCCGCATGTGCTTTTATAGCTTCCTGGTCATGATGTCACCCGCCCGTGACGTCTCGCTCAGCTATTAGACTGATTTCACATGTTATTCAGAGCATGGTCACAGAAGGCGTTCCACATATTGGTTTAGCCACCCCTTAGCACCGGTAGAGAAAAAATCTGGCGCGTGCCTGTTTGTAACAATAGCTGTTCTATCCAGATCATGTCTTTTTCATAAGGGCACATATACATATGAAAAAAAATTTTTTTGGTAACTTGTGTTTGGTACATTAATATGAAAATCATTCAGTACCATGGTATATATCAAAGTAGTAAGTTACCACGATATATCACAGGGTTGCCAGGTTTTCACAACAAAAACCCGCCCAAGTGCTACTCAAAACTAGTCCAATCGCGTTTCGGTGGGGGGGTCCTCCGGTAAAAAATCTCGTTCTCCGGGGAGTAAAATACGCGTTTTTTGCCGTTGTTCCCCTGGTAAGATTCGCATTCCAGGGGCTAAATATCACGTTTTTGGGGTCTCTTCAACCCGCGGCAAGTGTTAAAGTAGCCTAAAACCGCGGACTTGGCAACACTCATCAGGTACCAACCGTACCATGGAAGTCCTTTAAAAACGTTTACCTAAAACTCCACCCATGAAGACGTCATCATTTTCCCCAGGAGTTTCAGCGCTTTCTCAACTTCAGCTGACGGTGAGATCACTTTGTGTGGGTGAGCGTGGAAGGAGGCAATTTCAGATTCAGTGTTCGGTTTAAAGCACTAGTCCCGGCTTGAATCGCATTTGCACCATGGCTGCTGTGAAGGCGCTTCAACAGTGGTGCAAAATCCAGTGTGAAGGATATCGGGACGTGTCGATCACCAACATGACCACATCTTTCCGGGACGGTCTGGCTTTCTGCGCTCTAATTCACAAACACAGACCGGACTTGATGTAAGTAACAACCCCCATACAGCAAACGAAAGCGCGGTTTGGTGCTGCATTTTGCTCAGAAAAGCACAGCTTCTGAACTTTGGAAGAAAGTTTAAATGCTCAACATTCCAACGTAGAGATTGTTTAGAGTTTTATAGCTCGTTTCAGACTTTAGACCATATAGAACTGTGGTTCAAAACGAAATACATTTTTGAACTTAGGACGAGGACATTAGATCTTTTAGTACAGCATAGGATGGTATCATTAAAAGTTTCAATATGATGAGAATTTTTAGAGTGAAGATTGTTAGAACTTAGAAAAAAAGCAATGAAACTTTTATGCATCAAGTTGAAAAGTTTAGAACTTTAGAACATTGGTACTTTTAGTAACTTAAAATTAGATTATTAAATGTTTAGTAGCCTGCTTTATGACTTATAAGAACATCACCATTTTTTTTACATTTAGGAACAGACCATTATAATTTGTTACATTAAAACTTTATATATGAATAAGATTGTATTGACTTTTAGAATTCTGAATTAGAAGTTACATAAGGATGTTGGAACTTTTAGATCTTTGGATGACAAAACTATTAAACTATTTTAGATATTGGGCAACATTTTGTGCTTGAAATACTCAATTACACCAATAACACCATTACTTTAACATTCTAGTTGTTTATATGAATATAAAGTATATGTATATATTCTATATATGTATATATTCAAGTGAATATCTGGAACTTGAGTGTTGACATGACAGGCTACATGCTTGTGTTTGTATTAATGTCAGATTTACATTAATATTTGGCATGGGAAAATCCCTTTTCTGTCTGGTCTCAAATTGTTTGCTCTCTTGCAGAGACTTTGATTCTTTGAGCAAGGAAAATATCTATGACCCCCATACAGCAAACGAAAGCGCGGTTTGGTGCTGCATTTTGCTCAGAAAAGCACAGCTTCTGAACTTTGGAAGAAAGTTTAAATGCTCAACATTCCAACGTAGAGATTGTTTAGAGTTTTATAGCTCGTTTCAGACTTTAGACCATATAGAACTGTGGTTCAAAACGAAATACATTTTTGAACATAGGACGAGGACATTAGATCTTTTAGTACAGCATAGGATGGTATCATTAAAAGTTTCAATATGATTAGAATTTTTAGAGTGAAGATTGTTAGAACTTAGAAAAAAAGCAATGAAACTTTTATGCATCAAGTTGAAAAGTTTAGAACTTTAGAACATTGGTACTTTTAGTAACTTAAAATTAGATTATTAAATGTTTAGTAGCCTGCTTTATGACTTATAAGAACATCACCATTTTTTTTACATTTAGGAACAGACCATTATAATTTGTTACATTAAAACTTTATATATGAATAAGATTGTATTGACTTTTAGAATTCTGAATTAGAAGTTACATAAGGATGTTGGAACTTTTAGATCTTTGGATGACAAAACTATTAAACTATTTTAGATATTGGGCAACATTTTGTGCTTGAAATACTCAATTACACCAATAACACCATTACTTTAACATTCTAGTTGTTTATATGAATATAAAGTATATGTATATATTCTATATATGTATATATTCAAGTGAATATCTGGAACTTGAGTGTTGACATGACAGGCTACATGCTTGTGTTTGTATTAATGTCAGATTTACATTAATATTTGGCATGGGAAAATCCCTTTTCTGTCTGGTCTCAAATTGTTTGCTCTCTTGCAGAGACTTTGATTCTTTGAGCAAGGAAAATATCTATGAAAACAATAAACGGGTAAGATTGTTCACTTTATAAAATGATCTCTTTGCTAACTTTAATCGCATCTTTCTATAGTTGCCATTACCATAACAGTTTACATTTCTTTATCCATTTAGTTGTAACACAGCTTACATTTAATTCATTTTTGATTAACAGTTGTTGTTTTTGTTTTTATCTTTTGATATCGTAACGGTCTCAAAAATAATTAACCATAGAGTTTACCTCATATGACGACTAGACCTTCAAATTGAACATCAAGAACATGAAAAGGCAAATTAGCTAACATTTGGGACCATTTCTACTCTATAGGGTTCTTCAGTTGGCTACAAAGTTCTTTTTTGTTGTTGTTGTTTTTTTAAGATATAGATAAGTTCTTTGTGTAATGTAAAAATGCTCTCCTTGGCCTTAGCTTGTAAGTTTTTGGGTCCTTTATTTCAGGACAGTTGAGCAAAACAACTGAATCTGCTTTAAGTTTTCTGGGAAATGCCTTCATTCCGTAAAGATCACAACCCCATAATGTTAACAGTTAGCAAGTTTCCTAGACCTCTCATAGAGCTAATTGACCTATGTGTGGTTGACCAGGGTTAAGATGTGACACAGCCTATTCTTGTGGTTTCTTCTGTTTTTGCAACAGCTGAGTCACATGTTGTGCTGTTGTAGGCCATTATAAATCATCATCTGCACACTCTTACGTTCCTGTTTCCACGGAAAAGGAATGCTGTCCAAAAATGGTATTGTTGTGAAAGAGAGGGTAGAAAAGCATATTGAAAAGTACTGCAAAAGAAGCCCTAAGGAAGAGCTTTGTGAGCATGTAAGGCAAGCTTTCTTTCAAAACAGAGCTACTAGTGACAAAGCCAGTGAAAATGAAAGTGTTAAGATAAGGTAATGCATGGTTTACAGGGTGGAGATTCAGTATCAGGTAAGGAAAAAGCTGGCACCGACTAAGAGTTCAACGTTTTGTTGGTCTCATTCACAGAATTAGTAGTGCAAAGGGAATGAAATGTTGTGTCCCCTCTCGTCACTGTGCACTTTGATGTGAGAAAATATGTAAGATACACTGTGTACAAAAAATAAATAAATACAATTTGGCATGTAAGTTTTCGTTATGATCTGTAGCGATTCCCAGTTTTTACGTTTAGATTTGTGGTCTTGTTTTTTGAATGAATCTTTAAAGAGAAATAATCCATCTTTATTCCTTTAGATTTTATCTAGATTGTTTTCTCTTTCTCTCTCCTTGTTCATGTCTGCTCTTGTTTATTTTTGAATGAGGGTTTTTTTTTGTCCCAAAGAAATCCAGGCCAAGTTCACATTTTTGTGTGTGCATAATGGCATGGAGGAATTATAGTTCTACCACTCAATGCCTCTGGATGGAAAATCACCACAAATGACAAACTTTTGCCCAACTGTTCATCATTGTAACTGTATAAGCTGACTAGAAACTAACTAAAAGCTGAAGTAATGATGACATTATGAATGGGGTAATACTGACCAGACATTCTACAATGAAAAAACATCCTCCGTTTTGATAGCTAATGTCAAGCAATGTTTTCTGTGTAAGAGTGAATATAATAAAAGCAGAAATATTGTTGTTTAATTAGAAAAAAAGCCCTTAAATGTAATATTAATGTCCTTGTCAATTCCAAATTAATTTTTATTAACGGCTCAGTTTCTTCTTCTTTTGCAGCCTGTAGATATCAAACATGTCTTAAAATCTGGAATGAGTTTTGCGGGTGTAAGACTTGATAATAGGTGTATATAAATTTAAAAAACTCATTCAATAGGAAATCCTCTTATTGTTCTGCCACACAGATGTTCCAGAGATATTGTACACACTCACTGAAACGCCTTTATTGCTGAGAGCTAAATCACTCTTGTATAATCCTTGTCCTTCGCATTAAATTATTTATTTATTTCATTTTTAACCAGGCTTTCGAGGTGGCAGAGAAGGAGTTGGGTATACCTGCCTTGCTGGATGCTGAAGACATGGTGGCTCTAAAAGTGCCTGATCGCCTCAGCATTCTGACCTATGTGTCCCAGTACTACAATTATTTCCATGGACGCTCTCCTAGTAAGACATACACAAGCCCCCCAACAAATATCAGTACTGTCACTGCATAGATGTCATCCACCCAATTTACAAAATGTATGATTTTTTTCAGACATATGGATATCCAGAGGCCATAAAACAAAACATAATCTTGAGAAAAAGAAAAAGCTATGTTCAAAAAAGTACATTATGAATAAAAGATAATATAAATGGTAGTATAATGTGAAACCGTAAAAGTTTTACAACCCTGCAAACAGTAGTAAACTACATTTTTGCAATTCCATTTTGTGCCACATAAATTACACCCTTCACTTTTAAACTTAATTAGCACTTATTAATTTTTTTTTTAGCATTGTTAAAAACATTTCACTGTGTGAATGTGCAGTTGGAGGTATGGGAGGGATTAAAAGACCAGCTGAAGAGTCTAATGAAGCACCATCTGAGAAGAAGAACCAACCTATCATGGCTAAAGTTTTTGCCTCACCTAAACCAGCCACAGAGAACGTGACGCCTAAACCGGCAAATGATAATAAGGTACACTACACAACTCATCTGACACCTGTCAGCTCACATAGGAACTTTGGCAGTTCTGTATTGCTTGTGGAGTGTGTGTAATGCAAACTCATGGGTAGATAACAAACCTCGTCTTAGGTTACATAACTCTAATATGAAAATTTATGGTAAATATAATTTTAAACATATTTTTCATGACTAACTGATCTTGTTTTTTGTTTGTTTTTTTTTATTTCCAGAGAGAAGTTTTGGTTGAACGTGCCAATAAATCATCTCTGAGCAGCAGCTGTAGAGTGTGCAATGAACATGTTCACCTTGTGCAGCGCCACCTAGTAGATGGGAAACTGTACCACAGGAATTGCTTTAAGTAAGTACATTTATTTATTTATTTTTTGATCCATTGACCCTTTTATTAATTTGTTTTTAACCAAAAAAATAATGATTAATATAAATTAATTAATTAATTGGTAAAAATGACCATACTACTGGTCAAAAGTTTGAAATAATCAATAATTAATTAATATATATTTTTAAGTCAATTATGCTCACCTAGGCTCCAAGGCTCATTTGAACAAAAATACAATAAAAACAGTTATATTATGAAATTATTACATGATTTTATTATCAAAAGGGAAAGCAAAGCCATTTATACTGTTACACAAGGTTTCTATTTCAGATAAATTGTTTGAACTTTCTGTTCATCAAAGAATCCTAAAAAATGTATCACTGTTTCCAGAAAAATATTAAGCAGAAAAAACGGTTTTCAACATTGATAATAAGAATAATTATTTAATAGTTGAGCACCAATAATAATTGATAAAGTAATAATAATAATTGAATAACTGAGCATCAGAGACTGGAGTAATGTTTGCTGAACATTCAGCTTTGTCGTCACAGGAATAGATTACATTTTTAAAATATATTAAAGTAGGACACATTTGTTTAAAATTGTAGCAATATTTCACAATGTTACCATTTTTACTGTATTTTTAATCAAATAAATGCAGCCTTGGTGAGCACAAGAGACATTAAAAAAAAAAAAAATCGTAATTATTCCAAACTTTTGACAGGTAATGTGTACAGTATGTAAATTATCCCACCTCACATGACTAGTGAATTATGGATATAATGCTTGAATTGTCATAATAATGATTTAATTTGAGCAGTCTAATGTGGGAAACATTTTTGTAATAGCTGCCTGTTTGTAAATTCCTTTAATTGTTTGCTGTATGGCAACTATAATAGTTGTTTTGTTTTTTTTGGTCACCTGATTATTTAGCATAATACCAGTGAATAATAGCAATGAAATGTTTTTGCTCTGTCAAGAAGAGAGTGAAGATCATCATCCATCTCTTGATGTTTTGGAAGGCATTTACACTTGGTCTTTTCACGATCAGATAGTTATCCAGTGCAAATACCCCTTTAGACTTATTTTTTCTGACTGGTTTGTTAGTTACGATCTCTCTATTCAACAGATGCAAAGAGTGTTCCACTATTCTTCTCTCTGGCACCTACAAGCCTGGAAAGGAAGCGGGCACTTTTATCTGCAAGACGCACACAAGCATAAAGAAGCCTCTGAGGGCCCCGACCACACACATCACAGTGGCTCCACCAAAAACACTGTCAACTTTTATTAGCAAGACTGACCAGAATGCATCAGGTGGAGGTACTGGAAAAGCTGGTTTAAAACCGAGCACATCCAAACTTGGTTGGCTGGCCAATAAAAGTGACCGTACACCCACCCGTGAGTTACCTGTCATACCTACTCCAGCAGTTCAGCTCACGCCAGCACCAAAAACAACTCCAGCACCAGAGACTACAACCGTGAAAACCTCCTTTAGCCCCAGAACGCCCACAGTGTCTCTTAAACCTGCAATCAACAGTGTACAGAAGAACCAAGAAGCCAGAAAGAGGTGAGTGTCTTTCAGTTCAGTATTCTGATGTTTTATTGGACCAGTGTTGTTATTGTTAACTAAAACTATAAAAAAAAATCGTTTTGGATCATTGTAATAAAATATAAATATTAAATAAAAAATAAATGTTAACTTAAAAAACTTCAAAATCAATCAATTTGTTAAAACTAAAATAAAAAGAAATAGCTATATATAAATATATATTTAAAAAAAATGACAGTGCACACAACAAAAATATTAGAACTTAAACTAAATTATACTAAATCTTTATATATATATATATATATATACATATTTATACAACAGTTTGTTCTGGTTCTCAAATCTGATTGGTTGAGAACCGTGAGATATAGTACTGGTATTGCTACAGGAACGCCCTTTCACAATTTTGTATCACTCCGCTTGTTCTAGCCGCGTCTTTTTTTTTATTATTCACTGAGCTAATTGTAGAGTACGTTAGTCAATATAAGAAGAAACGTCTAGCTTCGCGGTCTCTCTCTCTCTCTCTCATTTGGATGCACGTCCTGCCGCATTGTTTCTCTCTTATAACCTCATTAGTTCTCACTAATAACCTAACTGAAGCAGCACATGCCCTTGATACGAATTCTAACAGTGATGTATGTTTAACTGTCAACTTGAGCTTTGAATCCGTGGCGGAAGGAAGTAGTTCCGCACAAAAGAGGGTTATTAGGCACTCCGTTGTTTCTTGTTTAATTACACGCATGTTCTGTCGAACTGTTGTATAAATGCAATATCACTCTCGTACTCGAGCGATACCTGCTCTATATCAGTGGCTGTGATTGCCTGCGGCCTCGTGCCTCTGGCCTAATCACAGCCATGTTGATATAGAACCAGTATTGCTCGAGTACTAGAGTCATTTGGATGCACGTCCTGCCGCATTGTTTCTCTCTTATAACCTCATTAGTTCTCACTAATAACCTAACTGAAGCAGCACATGCCCTTGATACGAATTCTAACAGTGATGTATGTTTAACTGTCAACTTGAGCTTTGAATCCGTGGCGGAAGGAAGTAGTTCCGCACAAAAGAGGGTTATTAGGCACTCCGTTGTTTCTTGTTTAATTACACGCATGTTCTGTCGAACTGTTGTATAAATGCAATATCACTCTCGTACTCGAGCGATACCTGCTCTATATCAGTGGCTGTGATTGCCTGCGGCCTCGTGCCTCTGGCCTAATCACAGCCATGTTGATATAGAACCAGTATTGCTCGAGTACTAGAGTGATATTGCTCATATATCTCAAACTGTTGAAGTGTATTTAAAAGATTGCTTTTATGCATATGTACCATGTCAGCTCATATTACATCTTTTATTTTATTGGCATGGCTCAAAACTGGACATATCGGCCAATACTGAATAGCGCATTTTCATTTCCCCTGTTTTAGTTTTTCTTTGCTGTCATCCAATGCGTATTTAAAGTGAATATTTCTGAACTTTAACAATTTAATAACACTACAGATTTCAAAATGAATATCCATTTTTCACAAATGTACATTATAATGTTGTGATGCCTAAATTCACTATCATTTAAACCGATTGATTTTAGTTTTTAATGTTTTTATTTTTTCAATTTATTGTTTAAATGTATTCTTTTTATTTTGAAATTGTTGTTTTGTTAATTCATATTATTATTGTTATTTATTTATACATTTATTTAGACAAAATTGAATTTAAATTTGAGCCTTTATGGTGATCAACCATATCATGACAATGGCAGGCTTATTGTATTGACCAGATCCTTTAAGGTTTTTTTTTTTTTTTTTTTTCCCCTTGGATAGATTCTTTGAGTCCAGCAGCAGTCCCAGCAGTACTGTGCCTGCCAGTAAGAACACCTCATCATACACCTCAACTATATCTGTGAGTACAGCAAGTGTTAAAACTCCTACACCAGAAAGCACAATACCTAGAGTCACTGCAGGAGCCACAGCTGGTAAAGGTAGAGTCCTGCTGCGGGTGAGAGACGGGGCAAAAACGCAGGACTCAGAAAAAGAGAAGGAGAATGCAAAGGAGAAAGCCAAGGCTGTGATCGGGAAGATGGTGATGGAGGAAAAAAATAACAACAGCTCGTCTCTGAGTCCAGCGGGGCTGAAAGCAAATGTCTGGTGAGCTACATTCCCCTGCTTTGAGTGCAGTATTTAGCTGGCAATTATTTTATTACTTGTTTTCACAGGGTGGAGGTGTACATGGGTCATAAATGATGCCGATTTATAGCCTTTATGTAATCAAGCCTGTTGAGTATTTTTTAAATTCATGGTTAAGTGTTTGTTGACATATTTGTGTACAAAGGCACATCCGTCATTAACACAATCTCCTCTCACTTTGGTTTCCATAGTAATGTTTCCCCTGTGGAATCAGGTGCTAAAGGCCCCTCAGGTAGGGTGCGTCTCAAAGCACTTGATACCAGTGTGGAACCTACTGCCCCCACTGCTGCATCGCCATCCTGGATCAAAGATACAACCTTATCCAGGCCTGCGAGCACGCTGTCGTCCAACAGCAAGGGTAAGGAAGACAAACTCACATATTTACTGCCACCCGATACCTTAGGTTTTTAATGTAGATGTGTTCAACATCAGGGTAAACAACTTTTGTTGGTCCTTAAACAACATTCCTGTCAAACAAAATCTCTTTGTGGCATCAGAATCAGAGAGAGCTTTATTGCCAAGTGTGCTTACACACACAAGGAATTTTTCTTGGTGACAGAAGCTTCCAGTACACAGACAGGTTGACAAGTGACAAGACAGATAACAAAAAATAAAAATAAGTGAGTAAAAAATAAATAAATATGCAAAAACAATAGACAGACAGTAAACAGTATGTGGTGGACTTCTGAAATGAGAAGCAAAATCCCCCTCTCCGTGTTAGAATATTATTATTATATTTATTTATTTACTTTTTTTTTACTGTAAATTCATTTCACATTTCCATTTGAGGTTTATGGTAAAATTAGGATGAGTTTAAGATAAATGATGTTCCATTTACCAGGAACCTCAAAAGCATCCAATATGTTCATATTTTTTTAAGTTTATATTTACATAATTTTTTGCATCAAAATATCATCAAGGTTATACAGTTTTAAAACTTCACTTCAATAGTAGCTACAATTATAAACAGTGAAACGGTATAAATAAACAGTAAAAAGCATATTTGCATGTATCAAGCCATCAGAGGTCAAAGCTTTATACATAAACCTAACCTCTAAATTAGGTTCTAAAAAGTCTCTAAATCTCTAAAAATTGAAATTATAACTTGACAAGAACTTTGTTCAATTTGCTGGTTTGGTGGTCAAGAACAACATCTCTTATTATCATCAATGTTGAAGCAATTGTGCTGCTTTATATTTTGTGGAAACTGTGATTAGATTTTTTTTTTTTCCAGGAATTTGTTGAATAGAAAGTCCAAAAGAACAGCATTTATTTGGAATAAAATATTTTGTAACACTATAAATGTCTTTACTGTCAAATTAGATGAATTGTATATGTCCTTGCTGAAGGACATAGAGTAGTTGTAAGCCAAAAAACTGGTTTGATTTATTGCTAAAAATGTTACTCTAAGACCAAAATGTCTACTATGTCCATTTATGAATGGAAATCGTTTTTTTTAATGTAATTTCAGAAAACAGTACAGCTCCATCTGACTGGAGGTCCATGCTCAAGCCTGTAAAGTAAGTTGTGCTAGTTTCTGTTGTCTTTCCAAATGAAACCTGCTTTTGATCTTTAATAATAATGTCTTGTACTTTAATATTTTTTTAATCAGACAGCTGAAAGATATTGTCATGTTCTTTCTCAGTAAAATCATTTAATAAGTTATTCTCTATATGATTTCCCTAACCAAATCATCCCTCTCTTCATTGATTAACTGGTTTGCCAGACGGTCTGTCCCGCCCACTCCTTCACGCTCTTTTGTGATTGGTTCTTTTGATGGGCGTGTTAACCCACTGCGCCCAATAAGACCAGCAGTGGGTCGTATCTGAAAGTCCCCAGAGCAATAGAGCTCAGTGCACATGTAATTCCCCCATGAAGATCTTTCACCTGTAACTACCCCTTTAACTTGCCTCAACCTCACAAACTTTCACCTGTCAGAGGTGAGAGAAGCGATGCAAAACATTTAGTTGCTCAGAAACAAAACAGAAAAGTTCAATATCTTTTAATCTCTTTTCCTTTTTATTAGAACTGTCGGTTCCACAGAAAGCACTGGCTCACCCTCCAAGAGGCCGGAAGCAGTTTCCTCTCCACGGACATCAGGTCCTGGAATCTCTCAGACATCTGTTCCAGCACCTTCTACCACAAACATCGCCACTAGCGTCAACTCGCCCAAAGCTCCCTCACCTAGCCCAATGAAAAACGGGCCTAAACACAATGGTAAGATCTTAGGAAAATGTGTAGAAATTGGTTTGTTGTTAATTTTTATTTTCCAACAGTGAACACATACTTTTTTTAATAACTTTGCAAAAATCACGAAGCAAAAATGTACCAATTAAAAGTTTATTATATACTTTTTTCAAAATATTTATTATGTGTGGGTTGATACTTTAATACTTTATCTGAAAACAAGTATTTTTACTATTGTTTATATACTATTATAGTATGGGTTTGTTGTTAATTTTTATTTTCCAACAGTGAACACATACTTTTTTTTAATAACTTTGCAAAAATCACGAAGCAAAAATGTACCAATTAAAAGTTTATTATATACTTTTTTCAAAATATTTATTATGTGTGGGTTGATACTTTAATACTTTATCTGAAAACAAGTATTTTTACTATTGTTTATATACTATTATAGTATTAGTATTTTGAATTAATCGAAGATATAAAAATATACAGTAGGCTTTCATTTTTAAATACATTTTTTTTTAAAACAATTTTTTTTAAATAAATTTGTGTTTTTTGTCATTAGTATTAGTTTTTAAAATTTTATTTGAGTCGTTTTAGTACTTCAACCTATTTATTTAATTCAGCGCAATATTTCTGATTTCTAAGTTTTACGTTTATTTTTCATCTAATATTTGTTTTAGCTTTATTTCAGTTACCAAAAAAAACGTATGTAAAAAAAAAAATAATAATAATAACAACACTGCTAAAAACTAGTATAATTTTGCTTCTCGTGTAAATATTTTGATTTGATGTTAAAATGTTGTTGATACTGTGATACAAGATCAAGATACTGATTAAGGATTTGATTTTTCCAGTGTATGATTACCATTTTTTCACACATCAGGTTATGAACATAGTCCTACAGTGTCACAAATACATGATATTATCATGATCCAATGTCCAAAAACTGTGGTAATACCATAATACTTTATGTAAGAGGTGTCAGGTGCAGTCAAACATGCAATACAATAAAGGAATACTGCATGCAGTACATTTGTTTCTTAGTTTCTCTATTTCATCAGTCCGTTTTCATCTTTCTTCCAGACTCCAGCAGTGGCAGCAGTGTATCTCCTGTTAGTCCCTCAGGGACTGAAACTCACAAATTGCACAAGGTGTGTGTCAAAACAATAATTGCATGTGTTATCTGCTCTTGTGCATTTCTGTCTTCACTGAAGTGTGTGAGTGTTCAGGGATTACTTTGTCAAGGGGCCTATTTAGATTTTGGAGAGTCGAAGGACCTTTGGGGCACAGTTATCTTTGAATAGACTGTTAGAATCAAAATAGAGGGACTTCAAAGTAAGCCCAGACTTTTGAACCATATTTTCATTCCTCTGATAGACTAAAAAGCACTGAAAGGAATAAATAAACCACTGAGGATCTGTACAAAGTCATTTGTGCAGGAAGTTTACGTTTGGCATATTGTGTGTCTGTTTGCTTTAGCCGGGTTACATTCCCAAGGAAGACATTCAAAAAGAACTGAAGGAAATTGAGAAGAATATGAACGAGTTGGAGAAAAGAGGAGTAGAGCTGGAAAAACATCTCCGACAATGTGATGAGGGTCTGTACACACACACACACACACACACACACACAGACACACTCAAAAAACAAACAAAAAAAACAGCTTGCCTTTTACAAAGAATGAATGAATAGCCTTTTGTCAGATCCACTTGTCACACTCATATGATAAAGGAAGAATTATTTTACTGTGTCCCTTTAATTTGCCAAATAAATTGAGGCATATTATGAATTGTATAATTTACAACTTTTCACATTTCTATTTAAAATTTTTTTATATTTATTTAAATAGTTTACGATTTTAGAAAAAAAATCATTTTATATAAAAAAGTAAACAATGAAATTGTTTTAAACTCATTACAATGCCTAAATGAAACTTGATCATAACTTCAATTCAAGTTTATTTGTGTAGCGCTTTTCACGATACAAATCGTTGCAAAGCAACATTACAGAAAATTAAGTTTCTACAATATTTAGTAGTAGCTTATCAGTGGTGACTGTCAGTTAATGTACATATGGCAGAAATGTACCGAAAAATCAATTAAAGACGTAATCAAACAGACGATGAACACTGTTAACAGCGATTATTATAACTGTACACTAATGAATTCAGAATGAGAGGATGTTTGTTTTAGAAGACTGTATTAGTGGTTTAAGCGTTATTTAAACATGCATAGTAAAAATGTAAGTATTCCAAGACTAGATGTCGTCCTCTGGTGCTCCAGCAGATGGAGACAAATATTAGAGATGTAGATTTTCAACTTTTAAAGGGATAGTTCACCCAAAAATGAAAATTCTGTCAACATTGATGTCGTTCCAAACCTGTATGAGTTGCTTTCTTATGTTGAACACAAAAGAAGATATTTTGAAGATTGCTGGTAATCAAATAGGTCATCCTAACGAATGCAATTATGTGTAAAGGAATCTTGCATTTCTTGTTTTTTTTTTTTATTCAGAAGGAGAAGAGGACACATTAATGAATGACTTAATGGTGGACTGGTTTACCCTCATCAGAAACAAACAGGTCTACCTGAGACGCGAATCCGAGCTTGTGTACATGTATGTGTAAACTGCTGAATTACTGGAATGCTGATAGTGAATATCTAATATATTTCTAAATGTGCATTAAACGTTTTGTTATTTGTGTTTATGTTATGATAGTGCCAAGACACAAGATCTAGAGGAAGAGCAGCCCAGTGTTGAGGCCGAACTCAGGAAGCTGCTGGACAAACCAGGTTGAAAAAGTCAAGCATCATTTGTTTGCAGATGCCACTTGGTTTAATATTTTGTTTGTGTAGTGCAATGGCATTCATACTTTTTGGGCTAACTGTATCAGTGGATGATAATGAAGCTTTGTGTAGACTGTTGTAAACACAAACAACTGACAGATTACATGATTTGATTTATTCAAGAGATCTACATTTGTTTAAAAGCTTTAACGCTTCATTTCACATTTGTGTAAGTCTAATCTAGCTATAAAATGCTGTTTCTATCTTGTAGAGCATCTGAAGACATCTTGGGATCGTAAACGAGAGGAAGAGCTGATGGCCAAACTTGTGGGGATTGTGAACGATCGGAATGCCATTGTGGAGGGGCTGGATGAAGACAGACTGAGGTGTGCAACACATTCAATTCAATTCAAGTTTATTTGTATAGCACTTTTCACGATACAAATCGTTGCAAAGCAACTTTACAGAAAATTAGGTTTCTACAATATATTTAGTAGTAGCTTATCAGTGGTGACTGTCAGTTAATTGTACATATGGCAGAAACGTACGGAAAATCAATTAAAGATGTAATCAAACAGACGATGAACACTATTAACAGCAATTATTAATATGATGCATTCAAACTTATAGCAAAACATATCATATCCTATCATCCTTGCCTAAACATCCTTGGCTACATCAGCAGAAGAGTTGAAAGATAATATAAACTTTATAAGCTTTATAATAATATACACAGTATGACCAGGTACATTCATTAAAGTAATCTATATTTGTTTATTTATTATAAAATGCACATTATGACTAGGTGCATTCATTAAAGTAAATGGGGCATTTATTTTATTTCTTTTTTTTATGTATTTAGTATGCTACATTGATTAAATTGGAACATTGATTAAATTGAGTATTTATTCTGTATTTTTTTTTATTTTTTTTTTATATATTTGTATTGTTTAATTCTTTTTGTTCATTCATTTACAGGGAGGAAGAGGAGGATGAGGAGCTGAATAAGATGATGCAGAATCTTGGTAAGTATGATTACGTATGTATTATGATTATGTCTGTTTAAATAGCATCAAAACCTGAGAATAAAACTGTTTTGCATAATTTTCCCCATAAGCTTTTGAAAAAGGCGGAGAAAACTGTGCAAAAGAAATATTTAACCTTTAAAAATGAATCACATTTTAATGAATTGCCACAAATTTCCACCGCAATTCTTGTAAAAGAGGTTTTTCAAAGATATGACAGTTTCTTATTTTACAACAAATTACATTTCCCTAGCTAGAAACCGATTACTGTGCACCAGCTGGCTCTGATTTTAAAGAGGCAGACATTTGCAGCCAACTCTATTTATTATGGTCCATTGGATGTCTGTTGGATGATTCAAAATGAACATCCCTTCCTGTTTGCAAATAATAAGAGGCTGGCAACAGAGAGACAGTTGTTTATTGTCACCATTTGTTCACTGATGGCACAGAGGATTATTATTGTTAAGGTTTAGAGTCTGTTTCTAGTCAACATAATAATATAAACTGATATATTTGGTTTATAATTGTAAAGCTGATTGCACATGAGATTTTTACTCAAGGGCAACATTTTAATTAAGGCACTGGCATCTAAAGTGCTAAATACAGAAAGCTCTGAAAGTTTTCTAATAAAAACTTGCAATAATTGCACAATATTGTTTGCACTTTCAACCAAGCAGTTCCGAGGTTCGGCAAGTCAGGTTGTTGATGCTGAAACAAAATGTTTATTTTTGGAATAACTGACACCTGTGCAACTGTCCGCCAACTGACTCAAAGTGCTATGAATCTTGGGAGTAATTGCTCCATGCATGTTTATATATTCCACGATTTGAAAGGCCAAACAGGAAAAGTATTGCAACCCATTTTGATTTAATGATCACTAATGGAAACCATAGATATCTAGCCTTGGCTAATGATCTGCCTGCTTTTTCAATGCTAAAATGAGTTATAATAAAATGTATAATTTACCAACCCAATTAAACCAATGCATAAATGTGGGCAAAAGTCATAACCATTTGCAATTCATGACATAAAAACTGCCAGAAAGCCCTGGGAGCGTTTACTCTGATGTTCTGTGGTCACCATTAGTAAATGACCTCTTGGTTTCTCTTGAAATTAACTATATGTACCTTGCAGTTAAGAATGTGTTATGCTCTACCATTTGCAGATAAGAAGAAAGAAAAAGGCAGGAGAAAATCCATATCCCGGTGGTTTAGTTTTAAAAGTAAACGGGCGCCTGCAGAAGACTGATCCTCATGGTGTGTGTGTGTGTGTGTGTGTGCGCGCGTGTGCGTTTTGTCCCAGACTGAATGTTTCTGCTGCAGTTTGAGGTCAGATCACCAAATCTAAATTGTAGTTACACAGCCTTCTACAAATGGTATTTTTTATGATATCACATCATGTATTTTCACACTCATATTTTTGCACATTTTTCATCTGTCTCCCCATCTCCTGTCTTTGTGGGTGTGATTTATGCATTTGTTAGCAAATGTTTTGCACTTGAATTCTTTGTATAATGTTAATTGTATCTCTCAGTCAGTGTTTCATTAGGGAATTGGACTGTGTTGAGAGAAAAGTCTTAGTCATATTGATTCATATTGAATCAAAGCTGAAAATGGACATGGGTTAAGGTCCGACCTAAACTGTATTCACTCTCTGACACTTGACTTTTTACTAAGTATTTTTAATTGAGAATATCACTCATTTTTGCTGAAAACTTTTCTATATCATTTCATTTTAATGCTGTGTTATCCTGGCTCACTTCTAGTATCTCAGCAGCAGGGGGCAGACAATGACTGATTTCAGCCATAGGGCCGTATGCCATCTGTGAGAGAACTGATTTAATATGGTCTTTTTAAAGAAATTATTTAGGATTCTTCATTTAAAAGCCTGTGTTGTTTTGCTTTTAACCACTGCCCAGGTAGCTTTATATTGATTTTTATTTTTCCTGTGTTTTTTTTCCCCCATAAAAATTAATTGCCTTCATATGATCTGCACTTTTTTTTTTCTTCAAATGTTCTTGCTCTCTCTTTTCGCTGTATTTGATCAAAGGCCTTGAGTGAGTGTAACTGTTTAACTATTTGCACCACAGTGGTTGCCTAACTGTTTTTAATTTAAGCTAGAAGGTCTCTATTTTTTTTTACCAAGTACCCAGCATTTCATTTCAAAACTTTATACTGTGTACAATAAATTGCAATAGTCAACATGAATGCCTTTGTCTTTTTAGTCCATCTGCAGTTATTAAATATGATTACACCCTTTCTCTGCTGAAGTACTTTTTAGTTACTTTTTCCCTTCCATTAGCAAAGCACAGATTTGTTTGCATACTTTTGTTTCACCAGAATTGTTGTGTAAGCACTACAAATTACTGTGTAATGAATGCAAAAAAAAGACCTTTTAGGTGTATTCAGTTATTTTTCACCAAGATCGCAAATCTGAGCCTCTGTTATTTCTAAATAAGTGAAATGCCATCTTTCATCATTTTCATATAATGGTAAAATGCATTTTAACTGTAATATTGTTTTATACATATGTAATATATCAGTTTTTATTTACTACACTAAGATTTTTAAAACTCTTTTTGAAAGAAATCTCTTAAAGGGGTCATATGATGCGATTTCAATTTTTCCTTTCTCTTTGGAGTGTTACAAGCTCTTGGTGCATAAAGAAGATCTATAAAGTTGCAAAGACTAAAGTCTCAAATCCAAAGAGATTCTTTATAAAAGTTAAGAGTCAGCCACACCTACCTAAAACGGCTCGTTCTAACACGCACCCACATGTCTACGTCACGATGTGGGAAGATTTGCATAACACCGTCCAAATGTTCACGCAAAGAAAGAAGGCGTAACTTTTATTCTCGCTGTAGAATTGTTGCTGCGATGTCGTGAAGACGCTGTGTGTTTTGTTGTGAAAGCGAAACTACTTTGTTTGGCCTTCCAAAAGAGGACGATATCCTCTTCGTCATGCCTAGAGCTGATCCGTGCTGGTCGCTGAGGAAATACATCAACTTCGCGCTGTGGATCGCCGGATTGGCTTTCACCGTGGACGAAGCAGAGTCCAGCCTGAGGTCGTCACATGCGGTTGCCTCAGGCCTGCCGGCCGCCGCTCACTCAAGGCCGCCGTGTGTGACGCTGTTTCATTGTGAAAGCGAAAATACTTTGTTTGGTCTTCCAAAAGAGGACACGACTAGAATTCAGTGGTTAAGTTGTATTTACAACACTGTTCCAGAACACTTCAACCCAAATATTCAGATGTGTGCAGCGCATTTTATGGAGGACTGTTTCCTGATCCTGGTAGAGTAGACTACAATGCTGGCTGTTCTGACTCAGACTGTAAGTACGTTTTTTATATATATATAAAGAATTTGCCACTGACGATTCAAACGCAAGTTTCGAGCAGTGCTTGTTTGTCATTTCTCTGATCACAAATGCAGACATGGTTTTATGTTTACGCAGTGCGATGCAACGTGTAAAAAGACAGTACAAGTCATTATAATCAGTAATTATGTCCCCACTGAATGCAACAAATGCCACGTTTATATTGGGTTTTAATGTTTTTGTCTCGTCGCTCCGGCCGGACAGGGCATCACAGTATGGTAAGGGGCGTAATATTTCCGTCACACGCTTGAGATATTCGGCCAATTACAACGCACTGGATAGCTGGCCAGTCACAGCACACCTCGCTTTTCAGACCGATGAGCTTTGTAAAAATCTACGCATTTCAGAAAAGCGGGGCATAGAGGAGAAATAATAATGTACAGTGACTTTAAACCGCATAAACATTTCATTACACCAAATACACAAAATAATGTTATTTTTAGCAGCATCATATGACCCCTTTAAGCAAAATATTTTAAAACATCACAAATACAGTAATATTGTGAAATATTGCATTTTAAAATAACTGTTTTCTATTTTAAAATGTAACTTCCTACGATGGCAAAGCTGAATTTTCAAAAAATGTTCTTATCAATGTTGCTGCTTAATATTTTTGTGGAAACCAAGATTTTTCAGGATTCTTTGAACAGAAAGTTCAAAAGAACAGCATTTATTTTAAATTATTTTTTTTTTACATTAAAGTTGACTTTTTATCATTATAATGTGTCTTTGCTCAATAAAAGCTTTTAAAAAATCTTACTGACCACAAACTTTTGAACTATATGTGTATGTGGACTGGAAGGAAAAGGCTCCTTTGTGTAAAATAACATGCTTTATAGCTCTTCATGTCTCCTGTATGGATGATCCGACTATATTGACACTGCATTAAAATGCCTGAACAACTAAAAGTAAACACTCTTGGAAAAAACCTAGCAGTGAAGAATCTTAAAATAAACTGAATGCTTGGACTTCTTTTGGAGATTCTCTATGAAACTGACACATTAGCCTATGTCTGTGTACACTCACTTGACCAAGATTTATCTTAATAATGTATGTTAGCATTTGTGTATCTTGCAGCATGTGTTTGCAGGCTTCTAATGCATACAAATTTATTCCTATTCTGCCTCTGTTTGGCTTTGTCAAAAATCTGAGGCGACACAGCTTATAGAGCATGTGAGACCACAAGAATAGGAATGCCAACATATGCTAATGTATGTGTTGACTGTCAGCACTGACATGGCGAGTGGATTACCTGTGTTTCCTTCCATCTGATCCACTGAAAGTGTCTACAACCGAGGACATCCCATTGAGCTTTACATGTGCCACAGCTTTTGAAATGCATTTATGCTAAGAGTGTTTGTTGCTGCTTGAATGGAGTGATGAATAGGCTATAAGTTTTCTTAAAGGGATAGTTCACCCAAAAATGAAAACTACTCCATGATTTACTCATCCTCAAGCCATTGGTGTATATGACTTTCTTCTTTCTTCTTGCAAGACTAGAATGTTCTTACCGGAGCTTTCGCTATGCCTACGTCCTACATCATCCACTGGAACGCCACTCTCTTGTGAACCCACGTACGACAGTTAGCGGAATGCTAGAGATTACGGTTTAAGTTTTATATATGGATATTTTTCTTACACATGCATCAATTCTCTTCAGAAGGCCTTTATTGACCCCTCGGAGCCGTGTGGAGCACTTTTTATGATTGATGGATTAACTTTTTTGGGCTTCAAAATCTCGACCACTATTAACTGCCATTATAAAGCTTGGAAGAGCCAGGACACGTGTTTATAATAAAGAGAACGTTATCATCCGTTATTGGTGTGAACAGGCCTTTAAAAATTAGAACTTGGCTAAAAGAGAAAATTCTGTAATTTACTCACTCTCATGTCGTTCCAAACCTGTATGGGTATTAATTCCTCTGCTGAACACAAAAGAAGACGTTTAGCAGAATGTTCAAGCTGCTCTTTTCCATATAGTGAAAGTAAATGATGAACAGTGGTTCTCAAGCTCCAAAAAAATAAATGAACATTCAATTTTGAGATTGAAAGCTTTGAGAGATTTTAGAGCTACAACAAAGGAAGATTTTTAGTTAATGTTTATATAATAATAAACACTTATTTCCCTTTTAAGGCTCTTTTTATCATCCTCAGAGCTTGAAAGTCCTTGGTCACCATTCACTTTCAAAGATCTTCTGTATTCCAGGAAAGAAAGAAATCATGTGATTTGTGAAAGAAAGTTTATGATACTATGTTTTATTGAAGGTTGAGTTGTTGTTGTTTTTCAATTTATACAGTCTTATTATGACTGTATACAACTTTTATCTTGGAGGCTTTGTTTGTGAAAGACAGAGAATTTATCTGCTGGTGATTAATTTCAAAACACTGGGCGGATACATGTAATTGTTTTCTTTCAGTAGGTTCACTGTGCTGAGTAATGAAATTTATCGTCATTAATGATCTGGGATAAATGAATATAAGCACACACACATATGCATGTAAGGTGGAATATAAGCACCTCGTGTGTGATTTAGCAGAATGTTCAAGCTGCTCTTTTCCATATAGTGAAAGTAAATGATGAACAGTGGTTCTCAAGCTCCAAAAAAATAAATGAACATTAAATTTTGAGATTGAAAGCTTTGAGAGATTTTAGAGCTACAACAAAGGAAGATTTTTAGTTAATGTTTATATAATAATAAACACTTATTTCCCTTTTATGGCTCTTTTTATCATCCTCAGAGCTTGAAAGTCCTTGGTCACCATTCACTTTCAAAGATCTTCTGTATTCCAGGAAAGAAAGAAATCATGTGATTTGTGAAAGAAATTAGTTTATGATACTATGTTTTATTGAAGGTTGAGTTGTTGTTGTTTTTCAATTTATACAGTCTTATTATGACTGTATAAAACTTTTATCTTGGAGGCTTTGTTTGTGAAAGACAGAGAATTTATCTGCTGGTGACTAATTTAAAAAAACTGGACGGATACATGTAATTGTTGTCTTTCAGTGTTCACTGTGTTGAGTAATGAAATTTATCGTCATAAATGATCATCGTCATAAATGATCTGGGGATAAATTAATATAAGCACACACACATATGCATGTAAGGTGGAATATAAGCACCTCGTGTGTGGGGAGATTTCTGGGAAAGACATTAGAGATGGAAAAGCTATCTACACTGACCTGGAGAGATAGCCCGTGTCAGACTCAGCTACCATGTGCAGAGCTCTGCACAAATACACACACACACACAGCTGCACGAGTGCACACACGTATTTGAGGTTTGAACTAAAAACTATCAGTTACACAAATTCACATTATATTTGATGACTCAGTAAAACAGTAAACACCCATGAAGGGTTGTGAGCATACTTTACAGAGAGTTTCCTATTTTATGGGAACGTACATTTTTTCAATTTGCGAAAAGATAACGTTTTCAGGCCTGCAGAGATAGAAATAAGAGAAATGACCAGTTTTGAATATTAGAGTTCACTGATGAGAGAGCAGATTGGCTAACGGCTTCACGAGTGCACACACGTATTTGAGGTTTGAACTAAAAACTATCAGTTACACAAATTCACATTATATTTGATGACTCAGTAAAACAGTAAACATCCATGAAGGGTTGTGAGCATACTTTACAGAGAGTTTCCTATTTTATGGGAACGTACATTTTTTCAATTTGCGAAAAGATAACGTTTTCAGGCCTGCAGAGACAGAAATAAGAGAAATGACCTGTTTTGAATATTAGAGTTCACTGATGAGAGAGCAGATTGGCTAACGGCTGGTATATACAACATTGCACAGACCCTGAATTTTTATTCTATATTTAAGGAATTGCTCACCCAAAAATGAAAATGTGCTGAAAATTTACTC